TTATAGGACTTGAACAGCGGAAGGAACTTTGTAACTAAACAAGAAATTATGTCTGTTTAATAGAATTAAAGAGAAAGTATTATCACATGAAACGAAGCAACTTACATTGAAAGAAATGTTTAATAAAGTAAACAAATAAATATTAAGCTTTTTCTTTTTGTAAATTTTGATACCCTTTAGATCATAATTGTTCTTTATTTCATAAATTACGGTTTCATATTTTTAATTTTGTAATTTCTGCATGCCATCTTACCAGATTTAAACTGATGATCTATAATCCGGAAAAATCGATAATCCGGAATCGCCGAAGTCCCGACGAGTCGGGATTAACGACTTTTGACTGTATTTCATTTTTTGTAGTAACGTCTCGTTTCGAAAATGGATTTTTCAATAAATCTTTAAGTATTGAGATATCTGAGTTCTCCATTCTGAAATGGGTTATTTATTATGAATATAAATTTAAAGAATACAATAAATAAAATACAAGTAGTCGTGGTATAACTATAAAAACAGCTAAACTTATGAGAACTCTACTAGCACTGAAGCAAAAATCATGTCTTGTGTTGTATGGTGTCATATCGGCGGCGAAAAAGCAATGCTTCGGGCTTCCACAAAAAGCTTATATTTTCAGCAAACATAGCACCACACGGCATCCGCCGCTGCGGTGCCTCATCATCAGCCTGATGACATCAGGATGCTCATTGGTGCTGACAAACTGAATGTCTATTCCACATGCAGAGGATTTCACTACACGCTGGCACAATAGAACGAACTGTTTCTTGTTCGGTCAGTGGACTAATTTATATTTATTAATTGTTTTTAACATTTAGAAATTATATATTCTGCGAAAAACATCTTGACAATTTTTAAAAACAAAACCAGGGATATGGTGTTAGACAGATAATAACTTATATACTGCCTGTAAGACACAAAATGGTAAAATTTGGACTGTTCTGTTAAAATTTGTTTCTTTTTTGTCTAACAAAACAAAATTGTTTTTCAGCGAATTATTTCCATAAATATAATAATACATCATCGAAATTACTTTACCACACTAAAACATTTCCCTTTATATTGATGAAATACTTCTTTTATATTTCCATAAAAACAAAATCTTACAATATATAAATTTAAACATTAACCATCTGCAAAATTGTATGGCCAGTTAATCAGTTAAAAAACCAAAAGCACGTTAAGTCCCCGCTCTAATACAACGCTTAATAAACCATACCTTTGGATGATTCCAAATACCAAGTGCAGGAAAAATAGCTGCACTTGCCTCAGTGCTATAGTATGCTGTGCTTCTCCAGTAGCCGATACATATAAAGCGTGATTTTCTATTAGTGCACAGTGCGTACACATCAAAACTTCCTATGCTCGTTTGCTTTTGAACGCGCTACGTGGTGCAGCACCTAGTACCGCACGCACTGCAAGAATACACGCAAGCAAATCAACATAATATTTGAATATATTATAAATAATATTTATATATTATTACATACCATATAACGATAGGTGCAGAAAATTATTGTCTCTCATAATTTTGCCAGGGTGTGCACGTGGACCGCACACTGCTGCTGTATACCACTATTTATGTTTCCAACTGCATCTGGCTAGGCATCAATGAAGCCTGTTTATGTTTAAATCACCTTAAAACATTACATTCAGTACAAAGTTCAACTACATGAATACAATTAGGTATAGTGCTGTCAGACAAAACCTATCTAACAAACTCTGAGTATCCCACAAAGGTGGCACAAGCACTGCAAATGTTGCATGTGAAATAGCAGTCCAAGCTTCCAATTTGATACCTCCATATAAGACATAAGAATAATTCTACATAAGAAATACTGCCCATAAAGTGACAGGCTTTTTTCACGGCAAAATCTTTGCAGATATCTTTAAAATAATGCAACATTATTTTATCTATAGCCCTTCCGATTTGTAGCAACAAGATTTTCATTATCTCTAATAGAATATGGATCCAATATGACATTCCCAGATGCCACAAATATTGTTTTTACATATTGTTTATTTATTCCATTTACTGTGAGAAATTTTTACATGATGCTTCACTATTCGAAACCATGAGAGCAGATTGCCTGTAGATTAATAAATTCAACCAAAATAGTATGTCTTTCAACAGAACAAAAAGAGGAATGCTCAGTCCTAGTACACCATCAAAATGTGATATACAACTTTTTTTCTTTTTCTTAAAATACTCCTCAATTTTCATCTTTCATGGAAAATCACAAAACTCCTTTGTCTTTGAATATGTTTCATTTTTAAAGACACCTTCAATTCATGGAAACATAACTGATTTGTATCTGTAATATAGGAACTGTAGTAGTGGTCAACCTAAGCTGAGACTACTAGATATGGCTAGAGCATCTGCCAAAGAATATAGTTCTAACTTCTAGCAGTTGTAATTTAGAAATTAAACAATGAAATGTGAATACTTTTGATTTTGCAGAATTGAATGAATTCTGAAGATAGAAAGAGCAAAGAGAGCTTAGGAAAGAAAATTTCACCATTAAATTTTTATTTAAAAATGAAACAGTATACATGTCAATCGCTTGATGACCAACAGGATGAGATCCCGTTTTTAGTGTATTTAGTGAAACTGCAAATTGCCAATAACCTTAACATAATCCCTCTCTTTCTAAGAAAAGTAATAAAATAATTGATTACCCCAATCTTAAGTACTGAAAGCAGTTGTCATGGCCCATTCTGCCCAGTAGAGAATTGACAACACCAAAATTTTTTCTGTTCATCTAATACTCAGCATGTGTTTTTAGTTTCTAAACTCCATTAAGATTATAATATGGACATGCTTATTACATTATGTATGTATTTAATCTGATACTGAAGAAGGATTCACAGTTATCAGTGCTTCATTTCCTTCCATATAATAATAATAAATTAACATGCGACATGATTACTGGAAATTTTACCCTTTAGAAATATATTTCTAATAATACATTTTTAGAGCAATGCTCCATTTTGGGTGGCCTTTTCTGTGAATTTGATTGCTTTGCTAAAATTAATTTTCCATTTTATTTTAAATCATTTATGATCACTCATTTTTTAAATAATTTTTTAATCATTTTGATTGATCATCTGATCATTTGACAAATGAGCTTAGATTTATCTTCAGAACCATCCACATATTTGATTTCAAGTTGCAATATCATATTTTATTATTCATTTTTTCTTCTCTTTCAAGCTTCTCTCTTATTTTCTTTTCTTTTTATGTCATTAATTACTTATGATTTCAAGTGAAAACCTCAAACAAGAAGTTGAAATAAATTACTAAAATTTAAAAATCTGCTGCATGTACTGTACTTAAGTAATAAATCATATACATAATACTACATAAGTCGTTACACATAATCAATTTTTATAAATCTTCTAAACATTTAATTTGAATATTTTATATAATAGTAAATCTAATTAATCTGTAAACATTAAAATTAAAAATTGCATCATTTTTGACATGATTAATTTGAATTGATCATTAATACATACAAATGAGACAACTATTAAAAAATATTCACGAGATATATTTTAGCATTTATTTTATTTATTTCATTTATTTGATTTGATTTGAACCAAAGAAATTTTTCTAATGTTTGTACTAAAATTAATAAGTGCATCTTAGAATCATTTGCATTCAAAGAACTAAGAAATTAGTGTTTTCCTCTTAACTAACTGTACAGTACTTAAACAGCTATTGTACCCAAACTACAAACACAGAGCTTAAATTCAGTTAGTTTTTGACTGAAATAACAATTTCAACTGAATCTCATATTAGATGAGCTCTTATATTTTAATTTATTACTTAACTGTTTGTCATAAATTTAACAACCTTTTCATTTAACCTCTCTGTTTTTGTGGTAGTTTATCCTTAATTATTTCAATTATTTACATTTTCTCATTTTTCCTGTGATTTTTTACTGGACTCTAACACTTTTAATTTTAGAAAATAAGTAATATACAAAGGATAATATTATTCTGATTTAATTTTAAATAACATTTCAACTTGCGATATCATGAACTGATCAATGCTCACAAGCTAAATTTCAAAAATATTAAATGATTTGCTTTAAAATATACGGAATACAAAGATGTAGGTTGTTTGCCCCAGAATATCAGCTTCAAATCGAGCTTCATCATACAGAAGGGGGGGGGAATCTACTGATTAAACTCAACAATATGTGCACTGAAGAAAGTGAACGTACATATATGTGGTTATTGCATACAAATAACTTGAAAAATGGAGAGGAAAGCTGCAATTTGGTCATCATTGTACATGTTCTCAGGTTAGGTTGATGCAAAGTATAGTGATCAATGAAACCTTAAGGAAAATGTTTTGCATTCAATTACATTCTTGGCTGGTGGTATTTAGAACTAGTCATGAGATTCATTTGCTACCTGGCACAGTTGGATCCATTTGAATATCCAGCTCTGTAGAGGTGAAAACAATTATTTTATCTCAAATAAGCTTCCATGAAAGTTATCTTTGTATTGATCATTTGGTGTATTGAGTATGACATAATGCCTATATCTTCAACTATTTTTTGTTTCAGCATATATTACTCGTGAGACATCTTTTTTAACAAAATTTTAAATTAGAAAAGCAAATGCTACATACATTTCAAAAATGAAATTAAGGGTCAATATTTATTTTATCAATAGACATCAATATTTAGTAAACAGTGATTACAGTTTTAGATATGATTTTCTGATTTTTCATAAATATCTGAGGGTATCAGTTGATAATTTAGAACATATTTCAATATGGCAAGGATTGAAATAAACTATAAATCACTTTAAGAGAAATAGTAAAATCTGAAATATTTTTTGTCATGCTTAACAGAAAAGTCTGGACAAATACCGTCAGTTTTCTAATATTTGAAGAATTCTTTACGTTGGTAACAGAAGATGTAATTACTGAATTATACGGTTAAAAATGACATACAAAAACTCAATCTACATACCTGTCTAAAGTATAATTTCTAGCTGTTTCAAAACAAAATTCAGCTGCTCCCAAAGTTCCCCAAGATATTCCATATCGTGCATTATTCAAACATCCAAACGGACCCTGAATAAGTAAAAAACAAATATATAAGGACAGGGTGAGATTATATATATCATATGTTTTGAAATTTACAAATGTTAAAAATTTTTATGCAATAAGAATATTTATTAATGTAAATTTTCAACCTGGGTTTTATAATAAAATCTCTGAAAATAAACAAGAATGAGTAAACAAGAAAAAACAAATGAAAAAGAAATATACAACTGATATATATATAACACTGCAGGAATCATAGCCTGATGAAACATATACACAAGCACAAAATATGAGATTCAACAATCTTTAAAAAAAAGAGAGACAGAGACAGAATGAATATAGTTTTGTATTAATATCTAAGCAATGATACAATGTGAAAAGTGACTGAACAAGTAAAATAATGATTAACTAACAGGTACATAAAGTTCTAATGCTGTAAATGGAAAAATGAAAGGGCAGATATCAGAAATCTGCAGTTATGGGTTATAAAAAAATAGTATCATAAAAGTGCTTAATATAATTTATAAACTACTAACAAAATGAAGATTTATGAGGCAAACATTTTATACTGCAGATCCTTAGATAGTGAAAATTCATCTATAGTCAACAGCTGTTCTCCCATGATCATAATAAACAAAGTTTCTCTTTCTTTGAGGGTGAGGCAGTCCTTTTTCAACCGAAAGATTCAAGGCTTGAAATTTAATAAACAGGTTAATCATGATTTTTCACAAGAAATTCGCATATTGGACTCATTACCTTCCCAGTAAAATGAATGCATTTTACTATAATGGCTTTGATGATGCTTCTAATACCAAATCATCCATGACATACTCATTCCTTACACATCCAGTGTCATACCATTGGAAACTATACATCACAGATATCCAGAGTGAAGGCTTCACATTTTCACGATGGACTGAAGCTTAACTGATGATATAGGGTTGACACAAATATGAGGTTTGTACGACATATAAGCTCCGTTTCATCCTTCCATCATTGCAGCATTACTAACAGAATTCTGGGCATGCACACCATTTCCTTGTCCCTTGCCTTTCCATTGATGCTATTACAGTTGATCTGTGCTGTGTTTTCAGTTTGTTGCGAAAAATAAAAATGCTTAAGACAATTGATGAACACACTGACAGGTCTTGGTCTGTAATTCACTTCTTGAATGCAAAGAACATGAAATCTGCTGAAATTCATCATGAAATTACTGAAATTTATGGTGAAAGTACAATGAGCAATAGTATAATAAGAATGTGAGTTAGAACATTCAATGAAGGGTAGACAAATATGCATACGAAGTACAGAATAGGCAACCTTCTGTTGTCAATGACAATTCGGTACAGTAAGTTAATGAAAACTTTCGGGGGAACAGATACTTTGCACTGTCGATGCTTTCTGATGAATTTCCTGAAATTTCAAAAATAGTTTTACATGAAATTGTTTCTCACTTCTAAGGTTACTGTAAGCTGTGTACGGGCTGGTACTGAAAATGCTTATGAATGGTTACAAAAGAAAACAGCTTAGAGGTGCTCTGACATGTCTTAGACAATACATTAATCCCTTCGAGCCGGGTAGCGAAAACACGCGCTTATCGCTGAGGCCGGCATGCCTACGCGAGCGTCTCTCCAGGGGGGCTTTTGCTACTAAGCCTAAATCCATGAAAATTTCCGATTATCAACGCAATTGTTTAATAATGCTCTATAGAGTATTTAAACAGCTTAGGCTTTATAAATATTTTTTATATATATACTTTAATTACCTTTTTCTTGTTTAAATGCATATGTTAACATTTATTTTATTATACTCCCATTTATGACATTTTTAACATATATAATCTCGTATAAAATTTGGAAACGGATCACACACTTACTATCATTCCTTGCCCGTTTTTTGGGATTTCCGGGAATGTGAACAAATGAAGCATCGTCGTCTCATTTCTTATCAGTCTCTTCTGAACAAATTTTGGAAAATGTCTTTCAGTAATCTTTCAGAATCAATATCAGAATATCAGAATTTCAGAATCAAATCTGAAATATTTTGCATCATTTCTATTTCATGCTCTGTTAAATTTCGACGCTTCGACATTGCACGGTAAAAACAAGAATTCACCTCTACAAGATCTAATTATTTTCTAAAAACTGAACTGCAAACTGAAATACCCAACACTTTAGAGCAAATAAAACTTCTCTACTTACAGTAAACAACTACCACGTGCGAATAAAGTGCGATTTAAGAGACGTCATAAATCACGCCATTCGGAAAACATTTATTTCCCCGTTGTTTATATAATCAAAAATACGTGTATGTGAGTCATGCTTCTCTCATTTCGAGTAGAAGGTCTAATTTAAATGTATCTGAAACCATATGGACATACAGTGCCATCTTGTGGCAGAAATTATAGTTTGAAAAACATTCCAAAGTACTGGCACAAATACGTGACAGTCAGTAGAGAATGGAACAATTCTCTGGCACGCCTGCGTGTCGGCCGGTAGGTAAGTGCGTTCGTTGCTGGCACGTATACATGACAGTCGGCGCGAAGGGGTTAAGAGGGAGAGGCATTTTTAAGTGAATTAGTGACTGGTACAAAATCTGGGTTCATCACAAAACCCCAGAATAAAAGCAGAGACATACAAAATCTCCCAAAAGGCAAAAATTCAAAATATCAATGTGAACCCCAAAAAATCATTTGCAACATGTTTGAGGATATGAAAGAGATTCTGATTGTTCAGTTTTTCTTAGGAGTGAAAATGTCAATGCTGCTCAATACAGTGAAATGCTGAAATAAGTTTGGCAAGCAATTCAAAATAAAAAGACAGCAAAGTTTAGTCTAAGGATTGTCCTTTTTTATGACTATGCTCAACCACATGCTGTTGAATTCACTCAAAGACAAATTGAGAAACTAAGTTGGCAACAGTTTCATCATCCCTTTTACAGCCCAGAGCTCAGACTTGGATCCATCTGACTACCATTTGTTCTTGCACATGAAGCATCACCTTAGAAGTCAAAACTTTCAAAGCAAGGATGACACAAAAATATTGTGAAGATATGGCTGTCATCTCTTGCTGCAAAATGCAGATACTTTCCTCAAAGAAAGTATAGATAAGTTGGTCACTCACTACAACTAATGTCTCAAGATAAGTGGAAACTATGTAGAAAAATAACTCAAGAAATGATCTTTCATGTAAAAATTAAATTGGCTTGAAAAAAAAATTGTTGTCTTTCCTTTTGCAAAATGGAATTTATTTCCCAGATATGTCTCATAATTGCTCAGAAGCTTTCTCTTTCTGTCTTATCTGAATTTATAGTTAATTTTAAATGCAAGGTTTTTAAGTTATATTTTATGTGTTTCTATTAAATGTGAGGTTGGGCATTTATGTTACCTTTAAATAGCTTTTTTGCTGAAGGAATTCAACCCCCCGCCAAAAAAAAGCAATTTTCAGAATATAATATTTTCCCCTAATTCCAGAGCAACACTTAAATTAACTGGCTATATTAACCATCAATTTAATAATTCCATTCATGAGTTCAAACATATGGCTGTCATAGTAATTCTGCAGTCAGTTCCAGCCAATCACGGCAGTTAAAGAAGAGAATAACTACATGGCAAAAGAAAGCTATGATAACAATATTCTGTATAAAAAAACTATGCAATTCCATTTCAAGAAATTAAATTATTAGAGATTTCTAACAAACTACTAGCAAACTTTGGACTGGCTTTACTCAATTGAAAAATTTAATACTAGATGGTTTGGCAAGATTTGCCATGGCAAACTTATAAATGTCTCACTATAAATTTATTAATTTAGACTCCCTATAAATTTATTAATTTTAGTACTGGACCAAATGTGTCCTTGCTATGTAATAGTGGACAACATATGATTCCTTAATATTAGGCAAAAAAGCAACCTTAATTCAGCTGAGATTTTGAATATAATTCCATCAATTCTGAGAGCAATCAGACACAGGTCTCTCTTTTTAGGAGCAAAAAATTTTGCTAATTTGAAATGACTGCTTGAAATTTTAATAATTGTTCTACATTACTTGTCTGAAACTATATTTTGGATATATAAGATTGAAAAATATTGAATACTAATCAAAAGGTCCAATGTTTGTAATTTCCACATGTGTAACATGTATACAAGCCAGTTTCCCTTAGAAAGTCCTCCACGAAGGCATCCCTCCCCTTAGGCAGATAGCCCTCGAGGCTTTGCCGTAATTAAATAACCTAACCTAACCAATGTTTGTAATAATAAATAAGTATATTCAGTTCTACTCTCAGTATTATTTAATGGAGTTCATCTTCATTCAAACACTGCAATTACACTGAAAATACATTACAGCCATTGAAATTGAAATTGACATAGTATACTGCGAATGAAAACAATACACATGATTAAAACTGTTTTATTTATAATATCACCTTCCCTCAGGCCTCCAATATTGTCACTTTAATAAAACTATTAACACAAGTTATAAATCATCCTAAATTCTTTAACACACAGTACTGAAAAAAAGTAAAGGGAAATATCCAGAATTTATCAATTTTAATAACTGTAAAATTGATCTGTTTCACTGCTGAATGCAAATTTCCAAATTGTAATTTTCATGATTTCTTTATTTACATACTAGAACAACATTCATGCATATTGTAGTTTATTTATTTATCATTAATTATCTTCAAAACAATTTGAAACTGACACTTTATTATCAGATTTAGTTAAATTAAATTATTTTAATGTGTACTACTTTCAGAGTACCGACCATTTGCAGTCAAGGGTTTTGCCATTGATAGCACAGCTGATGAAAGCCCTTTTAGATCAGTTTTGCAGAATCATTATTATTAAAATCCATACAATTACTAAAACCATTCCTAGATAGGAAATATTGTAAACTCAATACACAGTATATTTTGAAGCTGTTTTTGAGCATCTTTTCATGGGAACCTTTCATCCAGTCTCAAGAATAAACGAGTATTAGAAGCAGTCTCATTGGTAAAGTTCATAAGGATTCAAAACTTTTGTACAAAATAATTACAAAAGTTTAAATGCATTGTTTTCTTACAAAATTAAATGAACAATTCCATCATCTCCAAAAGAGGGGAAAATCTGAAAAAAAAAAAAAAAAACTGTTAAAATGTAATTATGGGTTTTCCCCTCACCTGAAAAGTACTCCTCATTGCCATTTCATCTAAAAGATGCTATAGAGAAGAGACCATCTGTAAGTATTGCAATAAAGAAATAATTTGCATGAAGCACCCAGAATGGTAGGTAGAATTTAGGAATATATCCTGCCACTGAATATACTCTTAAGCTCCTGTTCTCCCTTTACTGACAATTATTTTGATTAAATCTAGATACAGCATTTGTTTCCACTCTCTGTTTGCTACACCTTCAACTCTGCAATGTTTCACTACTCAAATACATTGTTAAATAGCAGCAAATCTGTGATGACAATATTATGAGAATTAACTTCAAAGAAATACACAAAACAGATTTCCAACAAAAAGTTCCAGAAATATTTTGACTATATATACAAACACTGCTAACAGCACATGACTATAGTAGAATGGCACATTGAAAATTGTTTAAAAATATTTGAAATGTCCAGGGATAAAACCACTCAAACAGCAATTTTTTCAAAAATGTGATAGTGTTAGATATATCTTGTGACTTTCAATGAGCATTATCACCATGTGAATTATTTTTCAGGTACAATCACTTTAAAGGCATAAAGACAAGCAATAACAGTTTTGGTATACTGGGAAAAAACCACTTTAGTTCACATTTTCTTGGAAAGATCCACCAATTGAATGCTGGGCAGCTGTCTTTAGTAATATCTGGTCTTTAATGGTCGTCAGCGAAAGCTTTAATCAGCGTCGAGTTACAAGCTCAACTTTTCATGTTGTGCGATTTCACGTAATGCAACTGTTGTACACTATAGACAATGATTTGTGCTCTTCAGTGCTCCTTAAGATCAGTGAGATATACATAAAAAAGAAATGAAAGAAAACAGGTAGAGTTTGAAAAGTAATGAAGGTTTTATGCTTGACAATTCATGAAATTGGTCCCGTTTGCATAAGTAGTTGCAATGTTTCCAAACTGTTTCTGAAGCTGAACGCATGAGGAATATATGAGAATACAATGATATGACAGAGCATCATAAACAGGATGTTTATTTTAGCAGGCTCATTACAGTTCTTCCTGTTAAACTTAGGCAACCTAGTAAGGACACAAAAGAAGTAAAACCCAACGCTGCAAGCTTTGCTTACTGCACTGAAAGCACAGGTGTATATACTTCAGAAAGGGGCTATACACCAAGCTCCATTGTTTAAAAGCTTTTATACAATGCATGGAATTAGAGAGTAGTGCATTAAATTCTTTAGACAGCGTTTAATTTCTACAGGTTCTCCACCTGTTGATAAGTGTGAGAAACATCTGAATCAGAAATATAAACTTTCTTCAGAGATGGTGGATAGTTTTAAAAACTTTATCAAATCGCTCAGAGGATGCAAATTCATTGAATGACACACAAAAACTTTGTCGTAAGAGCTGAATAATACTAAGCTCAATAACATGCACAGGATCAATGCCCTAATACCAACCTTTCCTACAAGTCTTTTTGCAAGATTTTCCAAAGTAATTTCAATATATATTTTTGTTATCCCAGACAAGATGCGTGTAGTGAATATGATGCTTTAAATGCAATGATTTCCCTATTTACTGAAAAGTCTAAATCTGAGACTAATGAAGACACCCTGAAAAATACTGAAAAGTATTTTAAACAAAAAAATGCTGAGAAAGGTTTATATCTTAACAGAAGTGTGTGTTTTTATTCTCTTAAGAGAAAATTCCATAAACAATTGAAAACCTCTACCACTTTGGCAACAATCACAATGGATTTTTAAAAAAATCTTCCAACCTTCAACATCACAAATGACATCTACTACCATTGCCAACTCTGTTTTCTCAGTTTCAACATTCAAATCCTTTCAAACACAAAATCAGTTTTTCAAAAAATACAAGTCTGTAGCCAAAAAAGGAGCAGATGACATTTGCTCAATGCTTAACCATTTTATGTTCAATTTTATTCAACAAATTTCAAGAATTGAAATCAAATTGTTTACTTAACACTTTATCATAATAAAGAAATATTATTTAATAAATTAACAATGAAGTAAAAGGAATAATGTATAATGGAATAACTCTAACTGTTACAAGATAACTCAGAACAAATTCAAATTTATTTTATTTCTAAATCAGAAAGCTCTTAGTTGATATGGAAAATAATAATAATAATAATAAAACCTGCAATCCTTCGATGTTTGGAAGAAGGTTTTCTTCGGGAACAACAACATCTTCCATTACTATCATTCCAGTTTCAGAAGCTCGAAGTGAAAACTTTCCTTGAATTTTTGGTGCAGTTAGACCCTTCATTCCTTTTTCCAAAATAAAACCTTTAATTTTTCCATCACATTTAGCCCAAACGATAAACAAATCAGCAATTGGCGAGTTTGTGATCCTTAAGGAGAAAATTGCTAAATTAAAATTATATGCAGTAGAATGTAATTAAAAAACTCCTTTAGATATATTAAATTTTGAGTTATAACAATTTATTGTCCTTTTTATTGTTTGATTAATTCTTTCATGCAATTAATTTTAAGATGCTTAATGAATTATAAAAAGAGCAGTAATCTGAATTATAATTAAAGAAGTGAGAAGTTATTCTACCCAATTAGACATACACCAATTTTGTGTTGTCACAATTACCAATGTCTTTATTATAATAACAAGCAACCTTCAACAGTGGTGATGTTTCTGCTCAAATGATGAATAATGGAATGATGCTATTACTATCAATTTTAGTACTAATGCTTGTTTACTGACCAATCAGTTAGAATCATTAATACATAACAGCTTTTATTTAAAAAATACCTACATAAATCAGAAATAAAAAAGCAATTACACTCATGTGCAAAAATAAAAAAATTTGAATATTATATTAATTAATGGAATTTAAGGAAATTTGGTATGAATGTACATTTATTTATAACAGAGAAAGAGAAAAATGATTGTACCATCCAAAGGTCATTTTACATACGCATGATTATCAGAAAAGTTCATAGTGCAAGGATGTCTCATATCCACATTGTGATATCAAACTGAAAATGAGTCTAATATGTGCTATGGTTCATTCTAACAGTCAGACAGGGAGAGCCATTTCTAGGCCATTGGCCGTCTGTGTACTTTCCTAAGATTGCCACCTCCAAATTTAAAAAAAAATGCTCATTGTTTAATAACATTTTTATTGCATACTCATTAAGTACTTACATATGAAAAATTGTATAAAAAGTATTTAGGCGTGGTATTGCAAGAGTCTGCCCCCCCCCGATTTTCACCACCCGCATAATTTTACGTGCTGCATCCCTGCTAGGAACGGCCCTACAGACAGTTGCGCAGCGTGATGCCATATTGGACAGGAGACAAGTGATGGTATTTGACAAGTGGTCTCTATGGTAGTTGACCCCATTCCTGCAGCAAAGAGTATTTCAGATCTGGGATGGTTCTCAGATGGGGATGGCAAGATGAAATTGCTCTTCCAAGAGTTCCCAGATATGCTCTATAGGCTTAAGGTCAGAAGATATAGGTCAATCCATGCAGTGAATATCTTCACTTTCCAGGTAATCGTTGACCAGCTATGCTCTATGTGGACAAGTGTTGTTGTCCATCAAACCAACTGTGCCTCTGAAAGGTTGAATATGGCTCTAAGATCTCTCTATGCCTCATGACAGTCAAGGCTTTGTCAAACACATGCAGGGGTGTCCTGAAACTGTTTCCACAAATTGCAGACGAAACTGGGCGTTACATTGAGCTCTGTAGCCACCTGCAATTGTGATTGGCCTGCCTCCAATTTATTAACAATTCTCCATCTTATGCTATCATCCAAACGTTCATGGCTACTCATTATACCTGATACCTTATGAAATTTAACCAACTCTTGAGAGAAACTTGGTAAATGTCGTGAAAGAGTATGAGCACGCAAATTGCCAAACACCCTTCCTGCACTTATATCACCTTCACGACCACAGCTTTGCAGAAACCCATGTCTACCTTATGTATTCAGCTCTGAATATCTGCATAATTCTTCGGTGGCATAATTAAAATTTTTGGTTCAATACTGCTCATAAAAATAGATATAACTCACAAATTCTCTTAATTTTGCACGAGTGTATTTTACTAACACCTCATTCACATTAATACTTATACTGCGATTTTCAAATAGCATGTCTTTTTTTAAGATTTTATGCACTAATAAAAAAATTAAAAATACACAAATAAGTTTATTTATAATAATTTAAAGATTATGTAGATATATACATATGCACACACATACACATGTATATATTGTTATGTTTTTTGTATTGATTTAGCTATTTTTAAATAGAATTAACAAAAACTGTTTTATAATACTGTGCAATGCAGCACGAGACTTATTTGAAGACAAAGATATGCTGAAAAAATTAAAAATACAGGAGCATGCGCATTTAATAAATAAATATCACTTTCAATTTATATTTAATTTAATTGACTAGGCAAAACCGTAATTCTACCTTTTTTGCTTTCGAGAAACTGCTGGAACAATCTCATGCAGCTGAATTAAAAAACTATAAAAGCCAGAGAGAGAACATCTCAGCTCAGTTGTTTTATGAGTTTGTTTAGGAAACTGTTGTTGTTTACTGTAGCGAATTAGCGGTGAAATCGGATTAGCTTTCTCTATTTTGAATTAGTTCTGTTGAACGTTTTGGCAGTTTAAAAGATAACTACTGCAAGATATTGCTATATTGTATGAATATCTGAGGAAATTTAAGCAATTTGTTTTTATTTGTGATAAATTTTATTCACTTTTCATCGGACTTGTGCCTTCAATTTATTACGAACGAGTAAGCACACAACATTATATACATACACAGACATATATGCATTGTGCACAATGAAAATTTCTAATTTTAATTTGAAATAGTAAATAGCCCTTTAGTCATTCATTTAATTTGGTATTTCCCCTTTCTATCCTTAAAAGAATTTTTTTTTTTTTTTTTTTTTTTTTAATATAATGCACCTGAACTGCATCATTTTACAAATAATCTTTGTCGCCTGATTCTTATATAACACCTATTATGTACGTATTTACATTCCGCAAAAAAAGGCTTAGCAATAAAAAGTTACATTTTGAAAAACCACACCATTTGCTAACCAACTGAAATAAAACAGAACCTGAATTTAGTTATTCTTAATCTAGGACTTTTTGTTATCTATATGCTCTTTTCGTGCTTGCTTCTGTCCAGCTGCTACTCTTCCTCTCCAATAGTGATGCATATGTGAAACATACATGAGAAATTGCTTACCACATTAAAGTCATCTATCTTTGTTTCTTATATTGCTATTAAATTCATTATTCAACCAAATTATATCTAAATAAAAATGATAACCAGATAGCCAGAAATAGCCATTATCTATTTCTTCGTATTCTTCTGCATCTCACTAAAATTCTATACTATTACGTATACTTGGATCGTACAAAAATGATTGACACAACGGCTCTCACAATGAAACTATTACGCTATGCGAAAGGAAAACAAATGAAATAGACACAATAGACACAAGGGGCGTGAGCTAGTCAGAATGCTTAGATAGAGCTGGCCGCAAGTGAATGGTATAGTTCAGCGACCGTCCCTTTCGCCGTCCTCATTGAGAGCATGGACAGCAATGATGGAAAGTGATTATCACGGTCAGCATTGGACAGCGTGGTTCCTATGGAAGGAAGGCATACAGGGTAGTGAGATCCATTATTGCATGGTGCCTGTGTGAAAGAACAAAGCACCCTCAAGGTGTACTGTGTCCCATTGGTTGGCCAAGTTCAGGAGTGGAATGGAGACTGCAGCCAAAGGTGTCAGCGCGGGAAGCCCAGCAACATCGCATACAGCAGCAAATGCCGCAGCCGTGTTGAATTTGATCATAGCAAACAGGCGCATAACGTTCAATAAGATGCAGGAAGAGACAAGGCTTGCCCAAGGAACATTGCAGGCAATTGTGCATGGTGATTTGGAGATGACAAATGTGTGTGCAAAGGGGGTGGACTTCGGACCAAGACCTCGGACTACGCCTTACTTGACAACAGGAAGGACACAGTCAGGAGCCAACATGTTGAATCTTCTGCCGAATTGCATACAATTGTCTATAGGTGGTGCACCAACACCCCATAGACTGGTTTACCAAAGCTCTTCGGGACCTCCCAGCCAGATGGCAGAAGTGTATTGACATGGGCGGGGATTATTTCTAACTGATGTACTATCAGTTTTGTGTTAATAAATTGCATTCTGCTCTGTGGCAGCATTTGTGTCATTCATTTCTGTACGACTTAACCCATTAACCGCCAAAACTAAAAGGAATGTTTCTTTTCTCATGAAAATAATAACAAATATTAAATTAAGCATTTATAATATAAATTTACATTGAAAATAAAAAAAAAAAAATGCTCTTACTTGTGGAAAAAGCGAGTGTTGCATTAGTGCAAAATCAGCGGAAAAAGACTATGGATGTTTAGTGAGTAGGATTGTACTCGTGTGATGTTTCTTTTGAGCGCAGGATTACTTTTTAGCTATATAAAGTTTTATAAATCTACAAATCACTTTACTTGTAATTAATTTAATATTAAAATATATATTGTATTTCTTTTACAAATACAGATTATTTCAACTGAAAGATTCAAGCATGAAAAGCTTGATTACAATCATGATGTAAAGCTACATTACATACTTTGCATCTGTAAACAGTCTGGCTATGATACTCTTTACAACAAAGTCTTTTGTTATCAACGGACTTTACGATAAAATGTCTACCATCTCCATGCAATGGTTTTTGAATGCTGAATTTACTAGGTATTCCTGTTGCTGATCTATTTCTGGCTAATTCTACACTCTCAATAGGAGTTTGTAAAAGGAATAATGCATTCTCGTGTCTGAAATCTAAAAGAGACTTGATATTTCCAGTAGTAAAAAGTGGTGATATTTAGTAAGTTTAGATACATCTCACCTCATATAATTTATCAGTATTAACAATTTGACTGTTGTCATATGCAAATTCTGCTTCATATTCCTGTACTGCAAACGTGATATCGATTCTCGTACAACAGGAACAGAAATGTCCTTATCAAAAGACCAATACATTTTTTCTTGAGGTAAAGAATGATATCCCGTAAGCAATAATATTCCAATAAATCTTCATATAGGCTTCAGATGCAAAAAAAATTTTTTTTTTTTTTTTTTTTTTTTTTTAGAGCGTATATATTTGGCTGTTCAAAGAGAAGAGAGTAAATGTCTAAACCAAAAAGAAAATCGAAAATCTGTGCACTAGTTTTACCTTGTATTTTGTCTTTTACAATTTCTCTTCTATCTCTTTCTTCATGTTCTTCCTGAGACATAACTAACAGTTTCTTTTTTATCCACTTCAAGATTTCAGTCTTCTGCTTTTTAAACTTTTTAGTACGACTATAACTGCTTTTAGAAGGCTGAAACTTACTTCTTATGTGAATTTCAACTTCCCCAGCAGTATCATTTGGTAAAATATCATTATCATTATTTAAAACATTGCCATTCCTTTCTTCTTTGTCACTAGCTTCTGCAATTTCTGGGGGAACAACAACAATATCAGTTTCATTCTGGTCATAATTAACATTATCATCATCTGTTTCTTCATCAAAAAATCTTTGAAGGGCTTCTTCTACTGTAAGATATCTCATTCTAGTCATTTTTAAATAACCAGAACATCGAAAGGAATGAGTGAAAAAGGAGATTGACTACCCGTTTCCTGCTGACATTGCATCAGCGCAACACCTGTTTTCCCTTCCTTCCCAACACAAATATAAACATCTGACTTATGTAACGTTCTGATAAATGGTGACCTTGACTAAAAATAAATAAATCATAAAGACGGTGATTCTTTCGTTAAATATTTTCAGCAAAAATACCTGGTTGAATATTTTGCTCAAAGTATGAGATTAATTATTATAAACAAAATGATTGTTGAAGACAAATATTTTTTTACAGAAATAATCTTCATAATATTCCTTACACAAAATTATCTGCTAATATAAAATATCTTAGGTAGTTATATTTATATACCCATTTATTTTGACCGTTGCGTCAATGCAACACCAGTGGCTAATGGGTTAAATACACACACATATTTATGAAAAATTAGATTTCATATACACTGCTGGCCATTAATATTGAAACACCATGAAAGAAAGTAAATACAAAAAAAGATATTTATTGTACGTAAATAGTATGGCATGAAGATAAAATGATTACATTTGTAAGCAGTTTGGTTGTTTAAAGGGGTGCGAAATTAGTAGAAACCGCTGCCACCCTTGCCATCTAAAAAGGCCCTTATCTGGTTAGGCATGGAGTCGAACTGGGCTTGGAAGACAGAAAACAGCAACTCATTCCATGCTGCTTCAAGTCTATGCCTCACTTTATCAATTGTATCAGCTGGAGAAGGGTGGCAGGCCAGTCTCTCAGCAACCCATGACCAGATGTTTTCAATGGGTAAGAGATCTGGACACTGTGCAAGCCAGGGCGAAAATCTAATACCCTGTGTGAAGCTCCAATAACCATATGGCAGCAATGCCAGGCAGGTGGACTTCTCTCCTCTTTCTTACCCTGTGTATCGAGAAAGTCAGAACATGACATGCAATGTGTGGTCTTGCATTATCTTGTTGAAAGATGGTGTTAGGCAGATCTCGAAGATAGGGCACAACCACTGGATGTAAGATGTCAGAAATGCACCAATCTGCATTCAAATTACCATCGATCTAAACTAGGGATGGATGTGTTGTACACCCAATGGCTGCCCAAACCATTACACCAGGTGCAGGCCCCTATGATATTGAACGCACACAGGAGACATGCGGTCTCCTCGGAACCTTCAGACATGTATATGGCCATTAGAATACTGCACGAAGAACTGGGACTTGTTTGAAAAGATGACGTTGTGCCACTCCAGTATCCAGCTTTGTCACTCACTACAACCAGAGTTGCCTTCTCTCTCAATGCTGCATTAACGGTCATCGTATTGATAATTCATGCAGCTGCAACCATTGACACACCGTATGAGCGGATACTAGGCATGCTGCAAACATGTCTATTTACTGACTAATGGTAAATGATGTTGTTGTACAGTTTTGCAGGGCTGGCTCCACAATATGTCTGTCCTCTCGGGCGTTAGTCAGGGGACAGCATTGAGATTCTGCATGCCGTTCAGTATGACCCTCAGCAACCCATCGATTCCATATTTGCATGACAGTGATAGGATGTTGATCAGTGCGATGGGAGATATCACAGAACAATAATCCATACTCTCAATAGCATACTTGCCAACCTATGACACTAAAAAATCAGGAGATTTTTCACAGTGTTAAAAAGACTTTTTAAATGGTAAAAATATAGTTTTTAATAATGAATTAACTTTAAATAGTTCTTAATTCTTAAATGCAAGCAACACAGAAGTATCTTACACATAAAAAACATTTTTATTACTTGTATCGTTTAAGAAAAAAAAAAAAAAAAGACACTTTAATCAGTTTTCATACAAATATTATGAACAGTGGCAGATTTTGCTTTCGTTAAGAAAGAAACTTCATAATTTTGTTCATAGCAATTGCCACATAGGCCTGCTTTCGCTAATTAAATTTTTCTAATGTGTCATCACTAATATTAGATCTAAATTTAGTCCTCGTTTTCGCAACAACACTGAAAATCCTCTCACACTCTGCATTACTATGGGGAACTGTCAAGATGGCTAACATAATTCTAGACAGTTCACTATATTTTAAAATTTCATCAGCACCTTTCAGTTTTCCAATTAAACTCCACTGGGTGTCAATCCTAGCTAATTTTATAACTTCATCCAAGTTTTCTAATTGTAAACTGCAAAATTGTGATTGCAATATATCAGTGGCAACATCAACATCATCATCTTTCATGACTAAATAAAGTAATGCAGGAATAACTGAAGATATATTTTTCAAACCCATGTTTTTTAACAATTGCACCTGTTTTGGTGCTTGCACTTGATTATTTCTTAGTGGTTTCACTATCGGGAAACATTTTTCTAAATAAACCGATGCAGTCAGTGGCAGGTTGTGCTCCAGTGAAAAGGTATGTGACGATTGATTTATCATGATGTCACCGCTGTGGCTGGTTTGATAGAGCCGGATACGAAGTTCACAGGACTGCATTGCCAGCAATAACCTGCCAGTCAGTCAGTCAGTCAGTAAAAAGGCAGAGAACAGACATTCTGCATTAATAACTTTTTGGTCCTTTGTTTCCGAAGAAAAATGAAACTTTTTCTTCGGAAAATGTTTTTTTTTTTTTTTTTTCAAAACTACTTATGTTGTCCTTATGTTTTTGTGAAAGCACATGTTTAAGAACATCCGCCCATCCACCGTGCGAAATCGAAAAATCGCATCGACAGACGGTACACATTGCAAATTTATTACATTTCCTTGAGGAAATAATGGAAGGAAAGTCAACTGTGTACAATTTTTGAAACGTACACGAGTATTTCACCTTTCTCGCAAACATAACAAAAGATGATAATTTCTAAAACTATTTCTTGAAAGCACGTGTACTCACACAACATAGGACAAAATGGAGGAAATAACTAAAGAACATCCAAATAACAGCTTGCTTTGTCCTCATTGGCTAATATATGCCAGATGACACACAGTGGAGCTCGATTCCTATTGGAGAACTGGAGAACAACGTTTCTGGATACATATATGCTCTCACTCACAAAGCAGAAGTTATCTGATTCGCAAGGTTTTGTTTTAGATATAATCTAGAGAAAATTCAATTGCTTTCAGACATCCAAAACCACATTTTTGTTCATATAACAAAGTATCAAGCCAAGTTCCATAAAAATCGTGAGAAATTTTAAGAATAAGAAAAAGTCGAGAGAAATATATTTTAAATCGGGTTGGCGGGAGAGCGGTCGAAAATCGGGAAAGTTGGCAACTCTGCAATAAGCAACGCTCCTGCCTCTAGACAGTTGCTAGTAAGTATTTCTTCTTGTTATTTGAGACATAGCACAATATTCTGAGCAAACTCTGACCTAACAAAGTGCCTTCCAAATGAGAAATCCACTACACAACTTTTCTTTTATGCAGATCTTCAGAGGTCATTAATCCCTCCTGCATCGTCTAAATCAGCTAAAATACTATTCATTTGCATATCCCAACCTCTTCTTCCTTTCATGTGATTTTGACGTTCATCAGATCATTTCTTCCTGGTGTTGCAATTTTAATGGTCAGCAGTGTATTTATGCTCCAATATGTTTTAGTAATACTTTATCTGTTATATATATATCATCTGCAATATGAATATTACAAAACAAGTTCATACCATGTTTTAGTACCACTTATAGAATAAGTTTTATTTTCTGGTTTGTAAACTGCATGTGTTTCCATACTACCAGGATCACTGCCATGATTTGGTTCTGTTAGGCCAAAACAACCAATCAGGTCTCCTTTTGCTGAAAAACATTAGTCATTGATATTTTTCAAGAAAACTCTTTTACATGTAATTACATAGCAAATGTTTGAGGTATTACATGTTAAAAATTAATAAATAAATAACAAAGAGTTGAAACGTTATTAACATTTATAAAAGCAAAAGATCTTTATAAATGCATCAATTTATGCATGAATGAAGTTGAAAATTATTTTGGTTATTATAAATAATTTTTAATAAAGCTAAGTTGTAATAACATACAAGCTCTGTCTAAAAAGTATCCAACTTTGAATTTTCCCAAGCAGAAAAGCACCACTGGTCACAGTGGAAAGAGGTATCTTATTTCACATGCTTGAATTTTTTCTCTACATTGAAGTGTAAAACTTACTGCCTGCTTGCTGCTGAGTGAGGGTTTGTTATATGCGTTCATCAGATTTTTGATTTCTCTCAAGATAACTGAGCAAAGATATAGCATAAAATTTCACTAAAAGTTTGCCGATTCTCAAAGTAAAAAAAAAAAAAAAAAAATTGTAAGGTTCAATAGGTGTTTTGAGATGATGTTATAGGGGTAACACATATTACGGATTGGTTGAACTAATTCAAAAAAGGGAACACATCAGCAGAGAGTAACCAGCATTCTAGAAGCCACAAACTCCTTGGAATGCAGCTGTTGTTGAGAGGGTAGAAGATTGAAGTAGTAAACTACTGACAACATTAGTACCTAAAAAAGCTATACGCCATGATTTTGTGACATTCTGTAGCTGAAATTTTGCAATAGAACTGGAAGTAAATGATGGTTATAATGTAGTAGCATGATAGTTCCATTTCAGACACCTTGTATTTAATGATACCTTATACTTATTTTTTACAAGTTTCACAAAACAGTGTTCTAAAGCAAGTCTCTTTCTTTCATATGCCAAAAAATAATTTGACAAAATATGATTAAACACACCAACATGCACAGATAATATTTGCAGTGGTGGGAAACTTTCGTTAAAACTGATATTTATCATTATATTCACAAATACGCTAATTAAGTTCTAAAGAAAGAAAATATTTCATAAATAAACTTAAAAATTTAATAAATAAAAGAAAGATAATAAAAGTTCATATGTTCTCATGTTTTGTCCTACTTGGAAAATTTTCATAATTTGTTTATTGTCGAGTTAAAATATACTAATTCAGAAGTCAAACAACAAAAATCAGCGTTATATTTTCAAATTTTCACAAGACTAGTTTCAATGGCTTTAGCAAACCACCATCGTCAGCTGCAAAAGCACAAATCAACGAGATAGAATATAATGATCAGATAAGATAAGAAAGCCTGGACAGAAAATAAGCTAGTGGTGCCATCTGTTGGTGAAACCAGAACTAAAACATAATTTCTTTAAAGGCTGAAGGCAAAGATGAATTGGAATTAGGATTGTTAACTAGAACAGAAAGATTTTTTTTTTTTTTTTTAATGTGAAATGCCTCTAGAAAATCCAGTTCTCCAATGGAAGATGTTTTTTTGAATAATTTTGGCAGCAGAAAAATTGAAAGTGTGATTTTCGGAACCAACAATGTTGGGCAACTGAAGACTTCTGTGTTTCCCTTTTTCTAGCATATACCTCATGTTCCTTGATGCAAAATTTTAAGGTTCTCTTGGTTTGGCCAATGTAAATTAAACCACACTGGCAAGGAATCCTATAAATACCCCAGGACTTCATATCCAGAATGGAGTCCTTGAGTATGGAAAGAATTTTATTGATGGGAGAAAAAGCGATCCGAAAGTTAAATTTCTGCAAAATATGTGCAGCTTTATAGCTAACTGATGGAAAGAAGGGAATGACAACAGAATTTTTATAATCTCCTAAAACAAAAGTGTGCCTTTTAGTGTGTTGAGATGAGAATTTTTTAACTGCTTGATTAATAATGTTGGGTGAAAAGCCCCTGTCAACAGCTATTGTTTTTAAATAATTTAGTTCATCATGAGATAGTTTGGAGGAGCAAATTTGAAGAGCACGGAAAACATAGGAATAAAATGAAGCTAACTTTTGTTTAGTCAGATGACATGATTTAAAGTGTGGTGGAAGGCAAACTGATGAAGGTTTACAGTAAACCGTAGTACTGAAGTTGGATGTGTTACGTGTGACCAGAATGTCGAGAAACGGAAGAGAATTGCAAGTCTCAAGTTCAAAAGTGAACTGAATAACAGGATCAATAGAATTCATTGTTGAAAGAACTTTATTTAAATCATCTTTATTACCTTCGATTAGAGTAAAAGTATTGTCTACGTAGCGGAACCATATTTATTTGTTTACTTTCTTAAACATTTCTTTCAGCGCGTGCATGCATTAAGCATACATTACGCATATTCGAGATTAGAAAATTGCAACCAGAAAACTATTTTATGCGTATTCGTGATATATATAATGACGAGGAAATTGATTTAAATCATATCGTAGTACATCGAGATGAAACACTACATTTAGTAAGGAATTATAAGCCGAATAAAATAAAAACATCTGCCCTGAAGATAAGGATAGTGCGGACAGATCAACTTCTAGTTCAGTGCGCGCGGCGACGTTCCTCCCCCCCACCAGCACAGCAGCGTGAAATCGATAAACAGATTTCGGAATGGTTAGAGAAACAAATCACCTCTCTGTCACTTTCTTCATGTCTTTATCCATTTTTTGCAGCAATTCCACTTTTTGTTTAATGGACATCGAAATATGCTTTCGCTTTGTAGATCCTTTGGCAGCACCAAAATCGGAAATTCTATCTGACATAATCGAAAGTTCAAGCTTACTTTTATAAAATTGCTCTAACAGTCTGCAAAAAATAATAAGCCGGATCCAATTAGAAGATTAAGGAACAACGCAATCTGCAACATTAACTGAAATAGATAATTAGATAATTTTGGCTTAGCTTATACCAGCCGTTATACATTAAACACGCATGCGTAAATGCATTACGCGTTTACGCATGCGCGGTTAATGTGAACGCATGCATGCGCAGAAAGTTTGTAACTTTGAAGTCCAGATTATAGATCATTCAGGATTATGGACGTCCGGATTAAAGACTTTTGACTGTATTAGAAAAAAGGAAACACAGAAATCTTCTGTTGCCCAACATTGTTGGTCTGAAAATCACACTTTCAATTTTTCTGCTGCCAAAATTATTCAAAAAACATCTTCCATTGGAGAACTGGATTTTTTTAGAGGCATTTCACATTCAAAAAAATCTTTCTGTTCTAGTTAACGATCCTAATTCCAATCCATCTTTGCCTTCGGCCTTTAAAGAAATTATGTTTTAGTTCTGGTTTCACCAACAGATGGCGCCACTAGCTTATTTTCTGTCCAGGCTTTCTTATCTTATCTGATCATTTTATCCTATCTCCTTCATTTGCGCTTTTGCAGCTGACCATGGTGGTTCAGTAAAACCATCAAAACTAGTCCTGTGAAAATATAACGCTGATTTTTCTTTTACTTCTGAATTAGTATTTGTTCTCCGTGTTATTGTGTCTTAATTAAAATATCATGCCAAATAATGATTGGATCAGTTAAAGCAACAAGAATCAGTGTAATATTCATATGCAGGATTAGTTTTGGATATTTAAACACAGAAGAAGCTTCTTCTTCAGCTTCAGAATGTAAATGACCAAAGAGAAGCCAGCAATAAAATAAGGTGATAATGAAAAGAAAGAAACAAAACTACTGGCAGCATCTATAGATAATAAATGGAAACAACTATGAAATAATTTCCTTAAAACTGAGGGTAAAGATATATTGGAATTTGGATTGTTTATAAGAACTGAAAGATTTTTATTAATGTAAAATGCCTCTAGCAAATCTAATTCACCAATGGAAGATGTTTTTTTGAATGATATTATTGTAAAATACCTCTAGAAAATCTAATTCGCAAATGAAAAACGTTTTTTCAATGATTTTGGCTGCATAAAAATGAAAACATGATTCTCTAACCAACAGTGTTGGACTACAGGGAATTTATGTGTTTATTTTTTCCTAACATATGCCACTATACCCCAGAAGTTCATGCGGAACAGGGTCCTTAAACATGGAAATGCGAATTTTATTGATAGAATAGAAAACGACAGAAAAGTTAAATTTCTGTAAAATATATGCAATGTAAAATACATCCCAATTCTAACCCGTTTTTACCCTCAGATTTTAAGGAAATTATTTCACAGTTACTTTCAATTTTGTTCAATAGATGGTGCCAGTAGCTTGACTTTCTTCCTCTCATTCTTATGGTTTTATCCTATCAATGGCTTCTCTTTTGCCATTTGCACTTATTCAGCTGAAGAAGGAGGTTCTTTCCAATAACTGTCTTTTGTTAACTTCAGTAATTTATTTAGGGGTTAATTGAGCATATTAAGAGTTATTTAAGATAAATGTCATCTGAAACTTTAATATTTAACTGTCAATACACTTGAATCACAAAGTGCAACCAACAAAATTTTTTTGCAGACACCAACTTTCAGATTTTAGACAGAACATTATAGTCAGCTTTTGATTAAAAATGTAATATGTGAGTTTTCATTTTCTTAAACATTACAGAGGTAATTATTAACAGACAAAAAACCTTCATATTGCTGTAAGAATTAATAGTTTATGAACAAAGCATGTGAAATTTATAGAAATACTGCAAGATTAATTCAGAAAATATATATAAATTGGATTTCTTCCTTCACATTATTATCATTTTTACATGTTTTGATAAATATTTAGTGAATAAAATTTTACGTTTAGTTTAAAAAATTTGTTTTGTTAAAAAAAAATTTGGCCTGCCATCTACTTTCAAAAGGTGCATTCGGCTCAGACATTAAAAATAACGTCAGAATCAAATTTTGTTATTTTTAAATGTACAAGAGTCACATATTTTCCACTGTGCATAAAACAGCACATGTAACGTTTTTTATTATTACACATTTAACATTACATTGTTTAAAACAATAAACATTGCAAATAAAAAACTATTATATTAATAGAAGATACACAACATATTTACCTAATCTAGGCAAATATTTTTCCTTCTGTTCTTCTGTACCATAGGCATAAATTGGATGCATTACAAGAGAAGATTGCACACTCATAGCAGAACGGTAACTACTGTCAACTCTAAGAGAAACAAAAGAAAGTACAAAGAAAGCGTTTGTTGAAATAAATATACAAATGAGGAAAAACATTATTTTTTATTGTGAAATTTTTTTTTAAAAAAAAAAGCATTATGAATAAAAAATTCTTGAGTCAAATAAAAATGCAAGATAACAATGATCCACATTTTTAGCATCTTCTGCTGGCAGATTAAAAAAAAAAAAAAAATTCAAAACCAAATTCTACTTCTCTTCCTTCTAAAGAATAAAATTATTATGTACTTATTTATTAATGCAACCACCTTATTAGAAGTCACCAAATTTTCATAATGTGCCAAACTCTGGCAAACCTGCACATAACCATTCTTCCAGCAATCATGCTCATAACAATCCTTCAGTAAGCAATGCCACCATTTTTTAATGTGTTCTTTTTTGCTGTATTCCAAATTACAACTGTTTTGATAAATAAATCATGATATTTTTTCTTTAAACTTAATTTTTAAATAATAAGCTTATGAAATTTGTCAGCAATGAAAGAAACTCTGGTAAAATTTTCTGCAAGAATACAAAATTTTGCTGAAAATGTTCTAAAAGAAACAATGAGGAGATGCAGTTCCTCAATAGCCACTGTTGCCAAGGGTCACATGAAGCCAAGTTTCCGTAATTCTCTGATTTTCTTAAAGCAAAAACACATCACTGTGTACTGTATACATCGTGGAAGAAAAAAAAATACAGAAAGAACTCAAGAATGTAAGTAATTTATTTTTTAATGTATTATGTAATCCTCATTTAATAATTCAAATTTGTATTTTAAACTGCTAAAATACGTATTCTTTTCATATGTTGATAATGTTTAGTGACTTATGATAAATACCAAAAGTTGGGGATCTATCTAAAAAATGGTGCAAAACCACCAACTTGCACCCAACTTTTACCTTTTCATGTATAAAAAATCACCAAGGTGGTAGCATTTATACATAAGTACCTTATATGATAACATTGCAATACACTGCATATCTTCTTTCAAATAAAAGTTAGTAGAAATGAATGAAAATATTTTTATGGTATGATATAAACATTGCTTGATTATTAGATTTATTTAAATATATATGTAATTTGAAATAATTTAATTATCAAAGGAAAAGAATACCTCATTATATATATCTGAGTGTGTGTCTGTATGTATATGCATATAGTATATATACAACATTTTCAAATCAAAGTTTTGAGGCTATGTGAAACTAGTCAGTTATTACCTTTTTGCCAATCACATTTGCTTGCTTTATGGTTCACTTTCACATTTTCAATAATTCACACAATATTTCAAACTTTTATTGCACAATTACATTGAAAGTACACCAAATAATAACCTTTAATTGCTCTATTATTAAAATTTCCCACCTCATACCCTTTTTTAAGAATTCTACAATATTTTTATAAATTTCACATACTTAATTCATAAACCATTAATTCTTGCTATAATATCAAACTTTTTTGTCTGTTAATAATTACCTCTATAATATTTAAGAAAATGAAAACTCACATTATACATTTTTAATCAAAAGTTGACTATAATTTTAGAAAAAAGATGATGATATACTGAATGAAGATACAACACATTATTTAAGAATCTTACATTAAATAATTATGAGTGCAAAGGAAAAGTTGTTTAAGTCTATTACTATCTATCAATGCTTCAATAGCACACACACAAAGGATGAGAAAGCAAAAGTTTTACTGCTTTACAATACGTGATGCAAACCTAAATTCTGCATGCACTGGAAAACCACAAGAATTATGATTTGTTGTGTTGCAATATTAATTTTATCAGAGAGGAATGGACTGGAAACGCAATATCTATGATATGCTTGTTTATTACATAATATTGAATAGTTACAACTGAGCCATAAAAAGAAGAAAGAAAGAAACAATTATTGATAAATAAATGCAAGTATTTTAAAGTAAAAACCCAACTACCCGGCATCCAACTAACTGAAAAGCTCAGGTAACCAGCATATTTTAGAATTTCAGAAAGTTTTCCCATCTCCCAAAAGAGTTCTAATCCCATTATATAGCTTGTAATACTATTAACAAGTATATATTGTCACCAAATAGTGTGATTTAACACCGATAATGGGTAATCATGACATCCCAACACAGTCAAAAGAAGTTCATTTTGGTTTAATGTAAACTCTATTAATTCTTAATAAGCTTATTTACTTTTTGTAAAGAAGGATATACCACATATTTTCATGGATAAGAAAATACTTGAATCACAGAAAAAAGGCCTTCAAATTCTGAGGTCATCTTATAGGATGGCTACAAGAAAATTATATTGGAATTGATATAAATTAAAACCATTAAAAAATAAAACAAATCACTCACCAATGTATTAAAATCCTACAAAATCCTCACATTCAACATCTAAGGCAAACAGCTGCTCAAGTACATTCTCACTTTCATTGTAGAGAAGCTTGTTATATGGCTTCCATTCACAGCATTAGAAATTCCATGTTTTTTTAGGGATATGACCAGTGTTTCCACTTCCATTATTTTTCCATGATTTGATCAGAAAATTACATCAAGTGATGCAGCCTGTATAGCTCCACTTTTTATATACAACTTTTCACCACTCATCATCCAATTATTCTAACATTCATGCATGTGATCTCTGAATGATTTATTCAGGGAGATGTGTAAAGGTGGTAGCACTGAAGATAAACCACCCAGTATAACAGCAATCTTAGTATTGCTGTTTCATTTATCGCCAAGTTGTTGTTTCATTTATGGTAACCTGAATAGCTGAATGTTATGGAAACCCTATTATGACATAATTGGTTGCGTGATTGCGGTGAATTTGAATGATGGGAAAAGATTTGTAAGGGCTTGTGGTGTTTGTTGGTTAGGAAGTACGTTGCTGTTCTCGGTTTAGATGGTAAAATGGCTGAATGTGGTAAGATTAATTTGAAGTTTCCGTACAATTTAGAATGAAAGGAGAAAAAGCATGAATTGACTGGTGTGTAAATGAAGGTTTACTTAGTATCCATTATAAGTTTCCTGTTTGTTGGAAGGAAATGCGTATGGTCAAATGCCGGAGGATACATACCGACACTACAGAGGATATTTTTGACTCTTATCTTTGTGAATTTATGTGGCAATGCCAGTATACAGATTCTAGTTCAGATAATTTTAGGAAGTTTTTGGATGCTGTTAAGGAATTTTGTTTGACTGAAGACAGGTAAATTTCTAAATAAGGTAAGTGGATATTTCCTTTGTGTAGTGTTACAATGAATTTCCTTTTTTAGGTTATTTGATTGTTTTATATAAAAATGTAATTTATTCAGATTATATATTTTTTGTTGGCTGCTCCTTTGACTTTTTAAGTGAAAACAGATTGATGTGTGCATGGACAAAGTCAAGGGAGTATGCAAATGCCAAGTTTTTGCAATTCTCTGATTTTTTAAGTGAAAATAGGTCAATGTGTACATAGATACCAAGTTTGTGCAATTCTTTAACTTGTCATTTTAGATTTGTGTAGTGGCAAATTTTGGCATAAAAATCAGTGCTACACAAAGCCAAAGTAACAAGTCAAAGAACTGCACAAACTCGGAGACCATGTAATGCAAAAAACTGACAACTATCGCCAAGGGGCACCCGTAAATGTATTTTTACCTGTTGGTGACTTCATATGAACCAAACTTTTGGCAAGTTTAGCAAAACATATCGAGACGACTCTAGTCCCAATAACAGAACAGTACCAAATTATCTTGTAAATAATTATATGCTTCTATAACTTCCTTGTCAAAAGGTAGATCTTCATGATATTCATTCTAAGTACTTTTTGCACCAAAAATCGCCACTACACAAAGCCAAAATAAAAAATCAAGAGAATTGCACAAACTTGGCATCCATGTACCACCAAAAATCACCAATTTATGCCAAGGGGCGTACGTAAATATATTTTTACTAAATTTGATTACCCAATATTTATAACGAAATATTGAATATTTTTACCGAAGGCCAGAGGCATGTTTTCGACCGATTTGCAGGTTCCTGACAGCTCTTTAAATGCACTGGTATTTATTTAACAATTAATTTTTCCTTAGAGCATTTGCTCCCTGTGTTTTTTAAATGTGGAAATGACATTTTATTGATAAAAATTATACTCCCCCCTCTCCTCTAGAGCATTGAGTATTTGGTATTGAGTTCACTGTCCAGTTTTGAATCGAGAATACAGAATCATATCTTGTATATGAGAAATGTTTCTGCTTTGAGCATTATAATGCCAAAGTATCAAAAATCTTTAATAAATTATGTGAATCTAAACCAAGTTATGTCTGTAACTTTCATTTATACAGGAAGAGAAACAGAATTAAAAGAAAATTCAGAATGATATGAGCAAAGAGTTGTTAAATCTCTACTTAAAGAACTTTCTAGTCAATAGTACTATTTATACATTGAAAGTTTTTCTATGTTCCCATCATTGGTGAACGAACTCTTTAGACTTGGAACAAATACTTGTGGGTCTTTTGTGAGAAGGAAAGGAATGACTGAAAATTTTCCACTACCCAAAATGAAAACTGGTGAAATGTCGGTTTTTCAGAAAAAAAGGCCTAAATTTTATTACTTTTAAAGATACATAGGAAGTATTTTTTCAAATGAAAGCTCTAAGAAAGTGCAATGGCAATGTTCCATTTGTTTACACTCCCACAAAAATCCTCTAAAAATGCAAATGAGGTAATATGAATGCATGGATTATAAGATAGGGCTATGTATAGATCCCTGTTTTGAAATTTACCCCACTAAAAATGAATTTTAAGTAAAATGTTTCTTGTCAATTGTGTAATGCCAAAAGTCACTAACAGGGCAGTAAATACTGAAAAAAAAAAAAATAATAATGTGCAAAATAAGAATATTCAAGTATATGGCAGTAGTATAACAGGGCAGTAAATAAAATAATAAAATTCAAGTATATGAAGTATGTAAATCAAAAAATACATATAGCATATACCATATATGTACTCTACAGAACATAATTAAACAATGCATTCATCTTTCTGTAATTTTTTAGATTTAGGGTTAGTACCAAAAAACCCTCCAGCCCTGGAGAAATGCTTGTGAAAGAAAAAGCCGACCTTGGCAATACATGCATGCTTACACCTTTTGTCCCAAAAGGGGTTAATATTTGGGACTGCATGATTTGGAGTATTTTCAAATTTATAAGATCCAGGCATCAAACAAAACAAGGATATGTAATTTTTACAGAAAGCAGTAAACAAAATGAACTTTTATTAAATGAATAAACAGAAACATGAAAAATGTAACATGGAAAACTATCATAAACGATTTAAGTTTTTTATATGCTAAATCTGTGATTTGCCTCGCTTTCATATATAACTAAATAATGGAATTTTTATCTAACTAAATTGTTCTATTCATTTAAACTTCTACTAGAATGGTGACATCTGCACCAACTTTTACGTTTAGCAGGATTTTATAACAATCAAAATATATCATCTTTTATGACTGAAGTGTATGTGTGTGTTTTTTTTCCAAAATCTTATATAATTTTAAATGCATAATTTGATATTCAAACTGGTAACAAATAAGATGACATTTTTATAATTTTACAGCAGACACTTTTGGTTTGGCTTTTCTAAAGTATATTCTACTCTTTATATGCTCAATCTTCCAGAATTTTAACATATCCAGAAGTCGGCATTTCCCAAGCTTTCCTGATAGTCAAGTTTTTATGGTATTACAAAATAAATTGTTCTGAGTTAACATATGCTGATGTATAAAAATGACTGAAAACATATATACACAGTAGGAAATTTTTGTTAGCTAATATTCTTCACATTATGTTATGCTTATTTTATCAGATTACATTATTAGCATATAAATGGCCTCAATTATCAAACAATGCTCACACAAAGAAACAGATCCATACACTGTTAGCAAATAAGTGCACTGTTTCGTTGCTGGTAGGATATTTGACTCCTTTGCAGCAGACTTATGTTTGATCCTCAGTGTCATTTGCCACTCTCAAGGATTCTGAGACACCCATAGTACCACATTTCTCAAACTTACTAACACCATAAAAAATTAATTACAGTTAAACAAAGTATTTATTGAAAATACTTTACCAAGATCTGCAACAGGTCCTTGTTCCCAAACATGAAAAATATTTAAGAACTACCTGCCATTGAATAACAATATATATAAAACAGAGACCCCAGGAAATAATTTACCTCTCACATTCTCTTGTAATAAGGCCATATGCTACAGATGAAACTCCAGCACAACCATATCCTTTAATTGTTGGACCTAATACTCCCATTGCACCCATTTCTTTCATTATATCTTTATCAAACACTAAAAAAGAAGAAAAATATATTGCACTACTATTTACTTCTACTAAATGATTTTAAATGTTAAAAAGTATTGCTATAAAATTATTTACTACTTTATAACATAATTAACTGCTTTTATAAACATTAATATAAGAAACATGACTTAAATAGATATGATATGTTTCCATACACAGAGCTTATATTAGTCAAAACTTATCTAAAAATAGAATTCAAAATTTTTATAAAGTTTTCTTTAAGGCGAATATCCAATTAGTAAAAAAAAAAAATCAGCCTATGCCAATTTCAACTTATCAAAGTTTGTCTGCATATTAAAAAATGATATCAGTGTCACATCAACTTTTAATTGCCATAATCAGAATAATACTAAATAAATATGGTCCAGCTAATTTAATTTTTCTTACTCATGCTGCAAAATATTGAAAGTATAAGAACTAGGGCTATGTTTTTAAATAAGGACTTTAATGTTCCAACTGACTTTAATGTCTGCACAAAGAGTGAATTATAAATTCTTAAAAGTCATTTTCACTTCGGCATCAGTCTCAGATGAAAAGGTTCAATAAATTGTAAGAGATAAATGTCATCCTTCTTCAGGAATAAACTATTCTACATGAGTATAAGGTTCTCCCTCTCTTAAATAAAAAGGATAATCAGTAGTACTTCCTTATTACAGCATACTCTGAGGTTGAATTGCTAAGCAACTGAGATATGTAACCAAATTTTCAAATTTGCATTGGTTTCTTAAAAATACCCCTTGCTTTTTTAGAGACTATGCGGTTAACAATCTTTAATTTACTACACAAAGGGAAGGATATTTTACCATTTTTTCAAGAAAAAGTTCTTTTACCTGAAAAATGAACATGAGAAATTGGCCACAATATGGAACTATATGTTAATAATGAAACATTTTGGTGGTTCAGTATTAAAAATTGTAAAAAGTAGAAGGGCCCGTTTTAGAAATTGGCTCAGTAGTTCCAAAATATCATTCGTCACTGCTATTAGATTTATGTATTCTTGGGCACAGGAGCTGATGTCCATCAAAAGCTGTAACTATTAGCTTAATATGTGTGAAAATGCCACAACTGATTGGAACAATTACATGCAAAAAGTATGTTCCCTACATCCAATGCAAAGATTCAAAGGGCCGAACCAAAATCGATGAAATTCTGTTCAATGTAAGAACAGCAGTCGCACAGTATTCCCACAACAGCGGACTTTTGGAGGAATATGGCGAGTGCATGTCATTCAAATCTTGAATAGAGATGCTGGTACATTTATGGAGAAAATTATTCAACATGTGCAAGATGGAGCAACGATCAATTCAGACTGCTGGAAGGGGTATAAAATGGAGCAACTTGAAGAAGCTGGTTACTGTCACTTTTCTGTGAAGCAAAAGTATCATTTTAGATCCAACAATGAGTGTTCACACCTAAAATATGGAAAGAATGTGGGGTTTAGCCAAATGACTCGGCATCACCTCGAATCATATCTTTTGGAGTTTATGTGAGAAAAATTGATGATTTTTTATTAATTGTTGAAAGAAATTTTAGAAATAATAATTATTAAAAATATTCTTAGGTAAGAATATGCTAGAATTGTTGCTTTTATTATGCACAGTCTCATTTATTTTTACATTCGCGCTTCACAAGCTTGGCAAAATCATAGTGGGGATCTTCACATAATACTAATAAGGTCGCCAAAAAAGGTTAGAGGTCACTATTATAAGAAAGCACCCACAGCTTCTACTATAGAAAGCAGAATAAAAAAAGTATGAAAGTATTATAAAAGGTCTTGTACAGTAAAGCCTTGAATTTTAAATCATTAACTTATAAGGTATTTCCTCCTTCCTTCCAGAATGCCTTTGTGGTGTAATGACACTATACTCGGCATCTATTCAATAGGTCCAGGGCTTTTTTTTTTTTTTTTTTTTTTTTTTTTTTAATCTAATGACTCTACTGTGGTGCCTAAACTAAAAGGTGGTTGGCCGATAATTGTCACCACCAGATTTGGCAATTGGGTCCCATCATCCCCAGTTTCCATTTAAAAGGGGAAATATATAAGGTATTTTCTCCCTCTTTTCCGAGCCAGTTTGCCTTAGAAAGTCCTCCACGAAGGCATCCCTCCCCTTAGGCAGATAGCCCTCGAGGCTTTGCCATAATTAAATAACCTAACCTAACCTCCCTCTTTTCTGCATGTCTTTGTGGTGTAATGGTAGCACACTTAGTGTGTATTCGAGAGCTCCAGGTTCGAGTCCTGATGAAGGCATAGTTCATTTTTCACATCTCCTGCTTCAAAATAACCTATCGACTCTACAAACTAAACTTGAGATGATATGCTCAACACATGGAAAGCTAAAAGGAATTGAAGAAACATTTTGAAATAAACCTTAGATGACCAGTAATGATTAGTAAGTGCATGGAATATTTATTAAATTACTTTGTAAATGAAAAAATTTAAATAAATATTTCAATGCAACATTTGAACAGGTAACAAAAAATACTGTCACGGAACATCATAAACTCCCCAGGAATTCACATTACCATAAAAAACTGAAACATAAATTTTATTAGTACAAGAGAAAGTAATCTGAAGTTCACGATAATAAAAAACATCAACAAATTCTAAGCAAGATGAAGAAAAGGCATAAAAAAGTGTCTTATTGCTCTTAGTGGAGAAATATGAGCTGTTATATATAAAAAATGTTTACTGAATATTAATAATAACAAAAGGCCAGTAACTTCTCTTAATAACAACAAATCCTGAAATAACAGCTCTTAAGTAAGTGAATTCCTGGGTGATGAAACAATGAAAAGCAAATAATAAGTATAGAGAAACTTTCTCTTCCCCAAAATAAAGTAATCAGAAATAGATCTCTGATAAACTGCTTTCTTAAAATAATTATTTCTTATAGTATTCAATTACAGTTTCAAAAAGGAAATTTATTGACTGAATTTCAAAGTGATCTGAAAAAAAATCAACATAACTTATAATTAATAAAAGTACTGACTATTCTTCTTTTAGCATAAAAAATAGAAACTTAAAATAGTAAAATCTGTGTTTAAATAAATGACAAAATTCCTCTTCATTGCTAATGAATGTACCACAAGTTCTTTATACACTTCATAAGTGACAAGAATTCCTTTTTAATTTAAAAACTTAATTTCTATGGCAAGCTGCTTTTATTTATAGTGATCTGTGAGCATTAAATTTTTTTAAATTGCTTCTCTATATTTTAATTTAATCAAATTGCTCGCAATTGATGTATAAGCTCATAAATTAAAGGGCTTGCAGCAAGAAGGGCCCAGTTCACATTTTTAAATTTTCGGAAAATTAAACAAAATTCTCAAAAATTCATTTTTTAACTTCTGTTCTAAATGTTTGTCTTTATTAAAAGTGCTAGTAAAAATGATCTTTTATGGTTATTTCAATGCAAAGAACGATTTTTTTTTTTAACAAAAAAGACTCGTGAACACAAAATCTACCAAAGTGGACATGGGCTCTTCTTGCTGCAAGCCCTTCAGTTATGTCTCTTAAATATTGAATGGAAAAATTCTGATTTGTGCATTTTGATTTCATTTTTACACAACTATATTTCTGAATATGTTTTAATGTTTAAAGTAAGTGTGTAATAATTACAATGGAATATGTTTTCAATTTTCAGTTGTGTATATATATATATTTTATTTCGAAGGTATAAATGCATCATCTTGTGTAATACTTATACTAATTACTTAGCATTGTTTTTGATATTGTTGTTATTTTGCATTACAGGTATCCCAGAGTAAATAAAGAAAGTTTAATGCCTATTGCATATTCTCTTGAAGAGGATGATCCAGAAGCGTAAGTTTTACTTGAGTAATGGATAATGTTGAAAAGTAATTCCTCATGTTGCCACCTGCCCCGTTTTTACCTGGATGAGCCTTTTTTGATTTATTTTTAGATTTATTAGTTTCACTATTAATTTGTCCAGTTTTCATATAAATAGTGAAATTATGATGAAATGAAATAAATTAGCAAAACTATTTACAAGTATTTTATTCTAGTGAATAATAAATATAATTTCATCTCCACCCAAACTTCCGAATGAATCATTTAATTCAGTTCATTTTGAATTTCTAACTTGCAAATATTTTAAAGCAAATGTCACTGTTTCAATGTAAAAGTTTTTAATTTCTATGTTAATATTCACTATAAGTAAATAATTACTCAATATGTATATACATATTTTTATAAACATTAAATAAATAAATAAATAATTAAAAAGGTAATTTTTATTTTGCTGCTTGTTTAAACCTTTCGTTTAGGTTTAACCGAAATATTTTTACAACTGAATTTTTTTATAAAGCAGCCAAAGCAGGTTATTAATTTTAAAATCAATCAATTGGCTAAGTATTTTAATGAATAATAAATTAATAAAAGAGAAAATCTAATGAAAACAATAATAAAATAATAGAAAATATTTTTTCTCACTATAAATAATCAAGAAATATTTAACTTTTTAATTTCTGTAAACATCCCAATTTTAAAATGTTTGGTTCAGCTATTTTGAAAAGGTGGCAACACTGACTATTTCACATAATTAACATCATATGATTTTCCTTATTCAGTTAATTTTATAAAATATGTATTCTCCTTGATTGTTAGGAGTGTATCAAAAATGCCGTTAATAGTAAACATAAGAAAAAATTTTATTTTTTTTAATTGGTTTTTATTTTATTATATTGCAGTCAAAATATTTTGACACTGGTAGTTCATACTGTATTTGGTTTCTACCTGCCAAGTGTGTTGACTACATAGAGTTTTGTGGTTTTCCTTATGTCCATGGGAATGCAAGCCAGTTTCTCTGTAAAAAGCCCATGAAGGCATCTCTCCTAAAATAACTTTCATGTGCTTTGGCTATGATCAGTCAACCAACGGATTATTATTAGTCCTTCAAATAATATTTGACTTATAGTCTTAGTCAAATTTATTTATAAGATTTATAATTTTAGTTCAGACTAGAAT